CCGGGGTCGTCACAATATGCGTTTTTGCATTTGCATATTATGCAAAAACGCATAAAAACGGGAAAAAAAAAGATTAAGCGTACAGACACGCACAGACAAGCGAACACTGGGGAGGCCAACAGTGAGGTGGAGAGACCCCATGGTACGCCTGTACGGTATCGCATGGACTCAGAGGGCTCAACAACGAGTCCAAATGGAGAAATTGCCAGTGCTGCATCGATGGCGCTTGACAACGAACGTCGACGACACACAGAGCTGCTCAAGTATTCAAGTAAATATGTGTACACGTACGTGAATTTACGTGGACAAACAACTTACATGGGTCGAAACGTACTTCATCACGCGCCCACGCCGTGTTCATTCAAACATGGTGGTTAGGGGGCTGTACTGATGATTCCCGCCCCTAATCACGTCTTGTGCTGTCTGTGTTTGTAGCTTAGGGATGAAACACAGGCAAGCTCTTTTCCACAAAACACCACTTAACATTTTCTCTTCACATAACACACTGTTTTTTGGTACATGTTCAACATTACTATCTTCTTCACCCTATTTTATTTCCCTCCCTCTTTCAATTTAATAAAAAAAATTCACCGGATTTAGGGTCTACGTCGTCTTATGGACGGCCCAGTTAGAGTCACCTAGTACCGGTTCAGCCCTTAGTTTCCTAATTCCTTCCATCCACAGGGCCCAAACGGCCCGTGGGGTTTTTTACTTACCTTAATGGACCGAAACGTCTTATCTCACTCGTTCTTCCTTCCATTTTCTTCTGTTTTCTATCTTGTACACCTTTCTCATTTTTACATCCAAGATCAACCTGGATGCTACAATCGGCTTACATCCACGCAGATAACTGCGTAAAAATAGCAGTACGCAAATGTAGTAAAACAGCCGTTACAAGTAAAATACCGAAAAATGCCAACTGACCGGAAAAAGCGCACTCATGTATTGTTCCATTAGCTGATAGTACAGTGACATAATCCTGACCAAACACTGCATGGCCACCACTTTCACTGCTGTTTCGGGGCACTGTGAAGCTTCACAGACCACTTGCATTATCACATGACGCTCATGCTACAAACAAAAAATGTACAATCAATTTATATTATTTTATCCTTTTTAATTGGCCTATTTTTAAAAATAAAACATCAAAGCCTTTCCCCCTTTTTACCCCTCCCCCCCCC